CAGGGAGCCATTTTTTTCTTTGAGTAAATTTTGTGTATTTAGTTCAGAAAATATAGCATAGAATTGTTTCACTTCTTCAACTTTCAAATTCAACCGCCAAATCTACATAGTACCTTTAAGTTGATCTACTCTGATGCTGCTTGATAATATTTGTAACTACAGCTGTCATAAAAAGTTCAACAGTTCAGTATTTCAGGCATTTCGTTATTTCTCTTTCTTGAAATGTAAAGTAAAGCTACATTCAGCAGAAGCTTGTACTGTATTTGCACAGTGGTGAATGAGAGGAGTGATGCATTTCCTCTCTCATTGGACAAGCTCTAAGTGTTGGTTATTGCTGTTTTCTCTCAGAGATAAAAAGAAGTTGCAGCAAAACATTTAGAAAGTTTTGAACCTTGAGAGAATTCCTGCTCAGTGCAAATCTCTGCATCTAAAATCAGATTTAGTGGAATTACTTTGCAAGCATGAGAAATGTTTGTATCATCTGTTGCATGATCATCATCAGTTTATCTTTTCTTTTGCAGAGTTGTCCAAACTTCTTCTTCATGGCTCTGGTTAACCAGACTGTATTTGTCACTGCTGCAGTTCTTCTTGTGAAGTCATTGGTAGCGTGCAAAGCTTTGCTGTCAGAGTTACTTCCCACAAATGTTTCTGGTTGAAATTACTCATATCCTCAAATAGAATCAAATCTCATTTAAACTGCACGCGACTCTAAACTGGCCAACGATGAGGTGTTGAAACTCTGATTGTCAAAGTTTTGGATTCTTTTTTTCGATAACTCCGAGTTTTAAGCCGATACAATCTCTGTTATTTTAACGACTGATCATATCGTAAAGTAACCAAACTTTAAAAAAGGGTTAAAGATAAGCGCACAGGAGAGGAATGCATCCAACCAAAAGAGTGAGACGACTTCTGCACTCAAACATTTCACAAAAACATTGGCATGTTCTCTGTGCTGAAACATCGCTAAATATGTTTGTTCATTTACGACAGACTGAAGGAGCTTTATGCCATTTTTAGTCAGCAAAAACAAGAAGTTACTGATATCAGGTGCCTTTGACTTCTAGGTATCAATACTGTTTGCTTTCTGCTAGTATCATATCGAGGATTCAAATCCTGGTATCGTGACGACCTTGCAGCAGCCGTGTATGAACGGTGAAGCTGCTCTGAGACGAGTCCGATCTAAAGACCTGGAGTAAAAAAAACAGCATTGAGCCGGAGACGCGTGCTCCTCCTGTACTCATGAAGCGCTCTCAGTCATGCAACACTCTTTAAATCATGTCCCGCCGTGCCATCTTTGGATCTAATGTACATGATCGTATTGAAATATTCATCTCGGGGACATTTCTTTGTCTTTTATCTCCATTATCCTCAGATTAAAAGCCTGTCAGTGACACGATGAGTCCCACAGGAGGGGATTCTTCTTTCTCTCCTCTTGTCTCCTTTCAGCTCTTTCATGTTGGAGGAAGTGGCTTTAAAAGACACACACAGACTCATCACACCCCCTGGAGGCTGCAAAGATTAATGCCCGATTAAAGGGGGGTTTAAAGAAAGCACAAATGAAGTACACAGGAGTCTAAAGCAGGAATCTTATCTGTCTCTGCAGATGTTTTCTCACTATTCCTACATTTTTCTATCAGTTTCTATTTGGTTGCAACAGATCAAACTGTTCAGATTTCTTCTTTTTTCTACTTGAATTTGTTCTCTGAGAAGTTCTGAGCCTATTGGGGCCTGAATTATTCAAATGGAGGCACTCTAAAGCCAGGTGGTCCTAACTTTACTGGAAATGGAAAGGCCATACCTGTTGGACTAAAGGAGCGAGACACTCAGGGCCTCACCCTTTGGCATCACCTGCTTCCCTTCTCTAGTTGTCACTTTGTACTTAACACCCTCGTCCTGCACAGACCACATAAACGCCTCGCCATTACCTCCTCTGTTTTCCTTTTTTTTTTTGACCAGAGAGGGAGGCAAAGAAAAGCAAACCCAAAGACAGGAGGAGCGAGTGTGTGAATAAAGGTCTGTGTTCTTGGCGGAGGAAGTGCCGGTGCCGATAATTAATCATGCCGAGTGTTTGTCTTTCCTGACGCTGCATCCTCTCCAAGAGCTGCCATAAGAGAGAAAACAAAAATACATGAGGTGATGAAGGAGGGAAATAAAGAGGCTCATTAGATTCATTTCCCTCTGCGCTAGTTTCCACTGATGGAGGAGAATGTGTGTGTGTGTGTGTGTGTGTGTGTGTGTGTGTGTGTGTGTGTGTGTGTGTGTGTGTGTGTGTGTGTGTGTGTGTGTGTGTGTGTGTGTGTGTGTGTGTGTGTGTGTGTGTGTGTGTGTGGGGCAGTCGGAGTGTGTTTGTGTGTTTGTGGAGCTCATGACAAAACACCTACGTTTACGAAGCCGCCTGTCACAAGTTGTCGCACATTACCGCCTTTATTTTTCACATAAACGGCCTGGACAAACCTGCTGAGGCTACGCAGGAAATGAATGATTAAAACGAATTAATCCTGACAAAATGTTCGGACGGGTACTTTAGCTTCGCGTGCTGCACGCCAGGTTTAAGAGGAGCGAGACTCTTCCGGCGTCACGAAATCGGTCGTCGATCGCCTGCGATGCCGAGTCGAACAAAGAAAGGATGGGGGGGGCTGATGGGGGAGGGATGGACGTGGTGCAAGGTTAAAGGGGGGATGCATAATGGGGTTATCCTGTGGGGGTGGGGTCTATAGGAAGCATCAGAAGATACATACATCCACACTTAGATCGTTTTTCATAATGAGGCGGTGTATGTGTGTGTGTGTGTGTGTGGGTGTGGGGGTGTGTGTGTGTGTGTGTGTGTGTGTTGCGTGACTAATCTATGCCTGCTACAATGAGTGACGGAGCGTAGGGCTGATCTCTTGGAGTGAGCCACATGCCCCCTGACAGCACACCCATAAGAGAAACACGCAAACATGCCTGCAACACGCAACGCACACGTCACCAATGCACATATGACAGTTCTGCACGCCACTCTCCTATAGGCTAATTGCATGTATACACACACACACACACACACACTGGCATGGTAGTAGGAAGGCCTGGGATGCAGTATTTGATGGCGTGTGACTTGCATGTGATATTTTTACAACTTGTTCTTCTGAAGTGAGGGGGAGAGGCGATGGCAGGAATAATCCTCAATCTTTACGAGGATCCAAAGGGATCATATCTGCTGCGAACATAAGACCTCTTCATTAAGTCTCAGGCCCTTAAGGACCCTTCAGAGGACCCTCCTTTGAGCTCCAGATGTAAAGTTTCCTCATGTGTTAGCTCCCTCCACAGAGAGGTCAGAGGTCGAGCTCGTTGTGCAGCCGGGACGGAGCTCCTCTCACACTTTTCTGCAGCTGTTAGCGTCCTTTTCTCCTCACTTTCCAAAACTTTCCAAACCTTGAAAACCCTAAACAAAATAATGAACTCATGCAGCAGAGGAAGCTCAGAAGCTTCAGTGGAACAGTTATGGAGCAAATCATTGAAACATTGAGAAATATCAGATTTAAAGTTTGTCTATCACTGAAATCATTTCCTCAATGGGGGGGGGAGGTAGGTGTGTGTATCAAACAGGTCACAAACTCCAAAAACAATCACTCTCTGTCCGTCCAGTACACAAAAAGAAAGATTTCATATACAGTCCGATGTTCCTCCCTCTGACACAGAAAGTGTCCGGAGAAGACTTTCTGTCTGCGTTGTGTCAGACAGAAAATGAACTATTTGCCTGATTTTTGTGATGAACGTGTGTTACATTGAAAAGAGTTTTCAAATGTAGTTTCATGATTTATTGTTTATTGGCACTAGTAAAGACGGACTGTTACATATGGTTTGAACAATCTTCTAGATTTGCCCTTCTTTCTCTTATTTTCCCCCGCTTGGCTTCAGAGTGGGACATGTCGATGCACTCCCTCACCCTCCTGTGTTTTGTTCTCTGCGTGTGCTTGAGTCCATATCGTGTGAGGGGAATCCTCTAAAGTCATGAAATCCTCCTGTGTTTGTCTTGTTAGTCCGGCCAACCACATGCACTAAGACCTGGAGTTAGCAGCATGAAAAAAAAGAGACTAATGCGGTTAATGTGTCGACCACATGTGTGAGCGTCCAAACTCTCTCACTGCCGCTGCTGTCTGAGCATTTCTCTGCATGTTGTTTCTGTGTTCTGAGCGAGCAGCAGGTCGATGTGTTGCAGTTTAAAGTTCGGCCTGTTTGAGGTGTGCACGGTTTTTACTTCCCAGACCTCGAAGAAGAAGAAGTCATAAACGAGCACAAATCACCCTGTTGTTAAAAAAGCAAGAGAAAAGGATTTTTCTCTCTTGATTCCAAAGAACTGAAACTTGTTTTTAGATTATTTAACTTTAGTTTAGTCGTTTGGTTCAGTTGAGAGACAACGTTAATGAATACTGGGGGATTTGAATCGGTCGCTGATCAGCCTGTGCTGTCCTGGATCCATCCAAACTCTCCATACTGGGCTCAGCTTCTGGGAACTGCGAGACTATGATGTTAAACTTTTTCTTCTTACGAGACTAACGTTATTGTGAGGTGGCTAACAAGAAGGAAAAAAAAGTCTAAAAAATCTTGCAAAATCTCAGGGATTCAAGAAGTATATCTTCTTATTCTTCTGAATCACCTTCACTTTATGAATCTTGTCATGTGGCCTTCAGGCATCTGCTACTGCCTGAACAATAGTTGCTTGCTGAAATAAACTTCCAGAATCAGTAAGAAAGGCTCACTTTTATCTGGTGCTCCTGTTCAAAGCGTTTAAACTGCTTCTTTAAATGCAGCAAAAACAGAAAACAAAGACGCAGATTAAAGACACGGGACACACAGTTGTTCTAACATTAGATGTAGATTGGAGGTTTACAGATTCAGTCGAATATACAGATAACAACAACAACGTCCTTTAATGCAGTTGCTTTAAGGTGTTCAGTTTAATGTTAGTTATTTCTTGTTACAGCTCATTAAGCCTTTCTCTGTTTGTTTATTTTTCACAGCGAGCCAAGAGAAGACCTCCAGGAAGCAGCTCATCAGCACAGCATCCTCCAACCCTGAACCCAGGAAGGAGAGCCTTCCACTGGGCACCGCGGCCAGTGAGAGCGGCCTTCTGCTGGAGGTGAGAAACCACACCACTGCTCTGTGTGTGTGTGTCTTTGTCTGTGTCTGTGTCTGTGTCTGTGTCTGTGTGTGTGTGTGTGTGTGTGTGTGTGTGTGTGTGTGTGTGTGTGTGTGTGTGTGTGTGTGTGTGTGTGTGTGTGTGTGTGTGTGTGTGTGTGTGTGTGCCCTTCGCCCTCTGCCCTGACCTCCTTTGCAGAGCGGCGGTTGCGTGACATCAGGGTGAGACGGGAGTGTCAGAGCTGATGAAGGAGGTGGGGACTCACACACGCTGGCGGCTTCAGAAGCCAGTCATGTGTGTGTGTGTCTGCATGTTTGAGCGTCTCTGTGTCTGAATGCATGTGGTCGTGTGTGAAAGTGAGCAGAAGAGAGTGAGAAGAGCACACCAAGCCTGTCAACAGCAATCAGAGCTCTGAGGAGAGGCGTGTTTGTGTGTCAGGCTTTGACCTCTAATCAGACTGTGATCAGGGATTAATTATACTTACAAATATTTTAAGATATCACACGAAACTTCTTGTTATTATGACATGAAATCAGGACACCCAGTCTGACTTGGCACAGCTGCACATGATGAATATTTTGGATTGAAACTCGTGCAGTTTGCTTCTTAGACTTCTTAGAAAGGGAAATGTTTCTTTTGGAGCGATCAGACGCCGCGAGACCCGTGAGAGAATCAGATCAATCCTGCACACCTGATATCCTAACGGCTGTCTGTAAAACAAGAAATCACACACACACACACACACACACACACACACACACAGGGAGGCGAGCCGACCCACTGATGCTTCTGTTAACGTGTCAGGTTGTCTCAAAGGGCCTCTGAACAAAAGGAGAGATTGACCGTCATGATGAGCCGCCTCCCGTTGCGTGACTCGTCCTGCAGCAGGGGCCTCGCAGCAAACTGTGCATTAGTCGTTATGGCGACGGGATCCCAAGAGAGGAAGATGATGGATATATGTGTGTGTGTGTGTGTGTGTGTTTATGTCTTTGTGTGTCTTTGTAAATGTCTGTGGAGTGAGTGTGAGTATAAGTGAGCACTTCAGACTTCAGGAGTTTGATCTGTTGTGTTTATTTAAATGTTTTCATAATGAATAATAACACTTACGATCAATAAGTGAGGGAGAATCTGGATCACAAAAGTCTGCAGCCATGCTTTACAGCTCTGTGAGGATACACTCAGGGAAACACAACTAAGACTTTCTCCAGGACTGGACGATTGTTGACAAGTTTTGGAATAAAACAGAAACTCAAGTTCCACTCATATGTGGAGCAAACTTTCACAAAACATCCACAAATATTGTTCACAATTTAATGTTTTGATTCAATCCACTGTCTCTTCGTGCGAGTTAAATCATGACACGTAATAAAAAGTTGGTCCTGCAAATTCACCAGAGTGGAACCGTTTAACTTCTGCAGAGGAAATAGAGAACAAATCAAACCTCAAATGACCGAAAATAAACGAGGAAAAGCTGAAAGGAATAAGTTTTGTTTCTTATCCGTCCAAATCATGGCGTTCAGAGCTCATCGCACCACTAGACGTGCAGATAACTGTTCCCTCCTCAACATAGAATTATTGAGCCGTTGATCACATTAATCAAAATCAAAGGGAGAATGGCGTCTCTCTCTGAGACAATGTCCACAGAGCACCCCGCTCGCCTGCACTTTGTAACTGTGTGTGTGTGTGTGTGTGTGTGTGTGTGTGTGTGTGTGTGTGTGTGTGTGTGTGTGTGTGTGTTTGTTCTGGTGGTCAGATTGTTCATGAAGCTTGACAGCCACACCAGAAGGACTGAAGAGACTCTGATGGCTGAAGTTGAAACACTTTATTTCACACTGGAGGAGAAATGAGATTAACCTCGATTAATGCTGGATCCTGTTTCCACACAGATGGACGTGTTAGTGATGACCTCATGGTCGCTGCTTTCATCCCCTCACAGTGAGACAGAAGTAAAACCAAAGAAAGTGTGTAGAAACAAAGAGACCGAGCTCCCCGCCCCCCCCTCCTCCTCCTCTACTTCCACATTCACTGGACCTGAATATTTTATTTTGGGCTCTGCGTGCAAAGCGCCTCTTAAGTTTTGTAAGTCAAAGCTTTTAGTCTCCCAGGGGCGGTTATGGGAGCCGGGGGCGTCGTAGCTGCAGATCAGTGGAGGAGCAGGCCAGCAGCAGGTGCCTGTTTCCATGTTTCCATGAGCTAAAGGCTTCAGTATGCCAGGAACGAGGGAAACATTCCAGAAAACAGCAGCAAACACTGCACACCATGTTTCTCTGGATACGTCTGTTTCTTTGATTTCTTTCTTTGGTTTTGTTTTTCCTTCCTTCTGTTCTTCCTTTCCTTTCCTTTTTTCTTGTTTCTTTCCATCCTCCATACCTTCCTTCCCTCCTTCCTTCCTTCCACCCATGCCTTCCTTCTTGATTCTTTCCATCCTTCCTTCCTTCCTTCCTTCCGCCTGTTCTTCCTTCCCTTCTCTCTGGTTTCCTTCCTTCCCTCCTTGCTTCTGTCCTTCGTTCCTTCCGTCTGTTCTTCCTTCCCTTTTCTCTGGTTTCCTTCCTTCCCTCCTTGCTTCTGTCCTTCCTTCCTTCCTTTCTTACTTCTGTTCTTCCTTCCTTCCTTCTGTTCTTCCTTCCTTCTCACTGGTCTCTTTCTTTCCTTCCTTCTTTCTTTCCTTTCTTCCTTTCTTCCATCCATTCTTCCTTCCCTTCTTTCTTGTTTCTTTCCATCCTCCATCCCTTCCTTCCCTCCTTCCTTCCTTCCACCCATGCCTTCCTTCTTGATTCTTTCCATCCTTCCTTCCTTCCTTCCTTCTGTCTGTTCTTCCTTCCCTTCTCTCTGGTTTCCTTCCTTCCCTCCTTGCTTCTGTCCTTCCTTCCTTCCTTTCTTACTTCTGTTCTTCCTTCCTTCTCTCTGGTCTCTTTCCTTCCTTCCTTCTTTCTTTACTTTCTTCCTTTCTTCCATCCATTCTTCCTTCCCTTCTTTCTTGTTTCGTTCCATCCTCCATCCATTCCTTCCCTCCTTCATTCCGTCTGTTCTTCCTTCCCTTCTCTCTGGTTTCTTTCCTTTCTTCCTTCATTCCTTCACACTTCCAGAACGCTCTGCTGTTTGTGAGTGAATTAGACACGATCTGATTGGAGAAGAAATATCACACCACACATGTGGCTTTGATAGCGTTAAGACTCTTGGAAGATTAATTCAACGTCTTAACATCTGATATTTTCATATTTCCTGGATTGACATGATGGGAAAACAATGCTCTGTTTTCAGAAATATGTTACATTCTGACCTGACATGCTGTTTCCAGATGTTTGTAAAGCTCCAAAATGTAAGGACTTCATTCAAGCTGCATGCAAATCAGGTTTCCCCGTGCACATGCAGATTTACTGTCATGATGCTGAGCTGAGCAAGTACTCATGACTGAAGTCTGCAAGTGCTCAGTGCACATGAGAGAGACCAAGTTATTGTTCTATCAGATCGTATCTGAAGGTGGAAAAGTTACATGTTGTTGCTTTATGTCCATGCTGAGTCAGGTCAGAATCAGGAGAAGTGAAGAGGAGATGTGAGTGTTTGTGTGTCTAAATGTGTGTGTGTGGATGGGACCCCCCCCCCCCCCCCGCATGTCATGAATCCATGCAGGTTGTCCTCGTCAAACATCATCTTCATCCTCAGCTACAACAATGACCTGAGTCATCCTTCCCTCCACTCCCAGCTCATCATATATGTTTCTCCCATGTTGTCATGTTCCTGTCACTGTGCTGCTGTGTCACAACATGACTCACACACCTCAGGACACACACACACACACACACACACACACACACACACACACACACACACACACACTCAGGTATCAGAGAGCTTCATGCAGCTCTGCTCGCTGAGGCAATCAGATCACTGTGAGGTGAGAGAGAGAGAGAGAGAGAGAGAGACAGGCAGAGTGTGTGTGAGTGTGAATTTAGAGGCCACAGGGATATATAAAACACACACACACACACACACCACCGGGGAAGACCTGCAAAGTCTCGCAGTAAAACAGAGGTGACAGACTCTGGCAGCAGCAGTCACGCAAGTCAAGTAGCCTTGCAGTTGTCACGCTATCGCAGCTGTACACACACACACACACACACACACACACACACACACACTACAGCGCTCGTCTCCTTCCTGTGTTTTTCTTTCTTCTCTCACACTCTCCATCTGTCTGTCCTTTTTTACTCTGAAGCCTTTTATGTATTTATTTAATATTTATTTTTTTAATCAACACTTGTGTCTGTGAACTAGAGAGAGTGTGTGTGCGTGCGTCCGTGCGTGCGTGTGTCTGTGAACTAGAGAGTGTGTGTGTGTGTGTGTGTGTGTGTGTGTGTGTGTGTGTGTGTATTAAAACGGGAAACTGGAAACCGGACTGTGTTTGTGTCGGGAGCCTCTCTGCTTTGAATCAATGTGTTTGGTATCAGAATCAAAGCAGGTTTCCACTCAAACAGATTCAATTATCAAAGTTTTTTACTCAAATTTAAAAAGGAGCAAATCTTCACGTCCATTTGAGCTGCTTTAAAAAAAATCCTTGAATCCAACCCCACCGGAACATATTTCTAAAAGACGTTCAAAAATAATATTTTCAGGTTTAATTTGTCCGGCTCCCATCCAGACCCATCTGTGTCTGATTGCTTCTCCAGTGTTATTCTTTCTTTTCTTCTGATGTTTCTGTTATTGGCTCTTCTGAGAATTATGGAAAGAATGATTCAAATTCAGTATTTTGATATCAAAGGCTGACAAACACGCTTCACTTTGTTCCAAGCCTAGAAGAAAGAAATGTACATTAAAGGCAGTGAGCACTGTGTGTGTGTGTGTGTGTGTGTGTGTGTGTGTGTGTGTGTGTGTGTGTGTGTGTGTGTGTGTGTGTGTGTGTGTGTGTGTGTGTGTGTGTGTGTGTGTGTGTGTGTGTGTGTGTGTGTTACCTCTGCAGAGATGAAACACAATAAATACAGTTGTTTGTTTTTGTCAATTATGTATCTGCTGCACTTGAGTTTATTTGCTGCATGAGTTGCTCTGAGTCATCACTTATTTCTGTGTCTCTTTCTCTGTGTGTGTCTGTGTGTGTATGTGTGTGTGTGTTTGTGTGTGTGTGCAGTCTCTGACAGGCTTTGCGTTGGTGGTGAGCAGTGACGGGATGGTCTTTTACGCCTCCTCGACCATCGTGGACTACCTGGGGTTCCATCAGGTGAGTTACAGGTTTCAGTTGCTTCATATCGAGGGTTAAACACTTTATGATGAACTTTAATAACAACCGGTTTATTGATACCTGAAGATAGACCAAGACCTACCTGAAACCAGAGTGCTCTGAGACCGAGCCAAGACCAAGCCCATAAATATCACTGAAATGGTCTTATTTTACCTTATTTTGTTTGGTTGTTGACTTAAAGGTTCAAAATGAACTTGTTGCAGTTCTACAGCCTGAGCAGGTTTGTTGTGTTATTGTGTAACTTTGGTGTTTCACACGGTTAGTACAGAAGCAATATTTATGTAACACATGATAAAACAGACTATTTATCCAGCAGTGTCAGCAGTAGACCAACAACTGCTGTCCTCTTTAGCTCCTCCTCCGTCTGAGCTGAAGCCACGCCCCCTAGATATCATCGTTGGTATCATGTTGGAGTTTCTCTTTATTTCTCCTTTTCTCAGTCATGGTAATAAATTCCCCCTGCAGATCTTCTGTGTGTTGTGACTCAACAAGTGTTCAGTGACATTATCCAGCGGGTTCACCCTCAGCTGATCCTTTCTGTTCTCCTCCATCCCGCCGTTTCTTCTTTCTTTCATCCTACGTCTAACAAGCCGCAGTCTGATAACTGGATCTAGACGGCAGGTCTAACCCACTAAGTCACAGCTGAGAGGCCACAGGAAGGTGAAGACCTCTGTTTCACCCTCACACACACGCTCTGGGTGTCTGTGTGTGTGAGGGCGCTGATAAGTCACCAGCGGTTCAGCGTGCTTCCTCTCCAGCGGCTGCACCAGCCACTCTTTAATTATGGATGATATCAACACGGGCTCGCCTGTCCTGCCTCGCTGAAATCATCCCTCTCCCTCCAAACCATGAATAAAGTGCTTTTTACTGTTCAAATCCCTCCTTTAACCTCATGTCTGCCCAAACTCACACACACACACACACACACACTCTGACATTGGGGTAGAAATTCTTTCGCTTCAGCTCTCTCACTTGGCTTACAAGCAGACGGGGGCAGTAACCCAGCGCCATGAAATCGACATAAAAACCAAAGCGGTCTGAGAGATCCTGCCACAGTGTGTGTGTGTGTGTGTGTGTGTGTGTGTGTGTGTGTGTGTGTGTGTGTGTGCTGGGTTGCATGAGAGGCAGTGTGAACAAAGAAGAACTTGGAAACACAGCAGCCATCAGGTTAATGCTATGTTAGAATGCTAAGCAGGCTAACGATGGTGAAGTAAAACATCACCGTATTCACATCGTTAGTTTAGCAAGATGGATTGTAAACTTTGCTAATTAATATTATAAAAGCCACAATGGTTGATGGGAAGGTCACACCCCCCTCAGGTGGGCTTGATGGCGTTTATATCACGCGACTGCTGCTTGGCCGCTGCAATAAAAGCTGTCCATCTGACCACCAAACTCTCCCGCTGTGAGGGACATGTGAAAAGCTGTGGCGGTATAGATGCTCTTTGACGAGCAGCAACAGTTTACCCAGCATGCAAAGTAGTTTGCATGACGGGCAGCATGCAGTGAGATCAACTGCTCGTCGATGTTGTCATCAGTGATGTTCCTGGGGTCATGGGGGTTTTCAGGACTTTTAACATCAGACCCCCCCTCACCCAGATGACCCAGGTTGATCAATCCTTAGGTTGAGGTTGATCAAGTCCCGGATTGCATCCCAGCAGCAGCAATCCACGGGCTCGCCCTTTTTATCCAAAGCCAGTTCCGATAACTCTGCGCCCTGCCAGAGCTTCACAGATAGCGCACTGTGATAAAACCTGGGCGGCCCCCCTCAGTCTGCTGAGAAATAAAAGCAGAACTACAGTTGTCTCTGAATACTGTTGCTAACCTGTTTGAACCTGTTATTGAAAGTAAACAGTCTCCTCTCCAAGAACTTAAAAAGAATCAGAAGTTGATGATGTATTTCAGACCGTCGTAAAAACCTTCTCTTAGTCGTTCCCACATGTTGAGAGTATTCTGATATTTGGTTTGTTTTTAAGTGACTTTGTTTTCCTCCAAAGCCTCGACAACATGTCACGTAATTTTGAGCCCACAATTGTAGTCAGAAGGACACTTATCCTTAATGTACCACAGAAGAAGAAAGGAAAAGGCTTCTCTCAGTAGCACCACAAGAAAGCTCTGCAGAAGAGCAGAAAACCTCCGCTGGCCTTTGATCCCGTTTGTTAGCCGGGGCCGTTTGCCTTTGAAGGTCAGCAAAAATATCACTTATTCTCCATTTTTCCCTCCTCTTTTCCTCTCTGTGATTTTTACGAGAAACATAAACAATAGTCACTCGATCCGTCTGCTTGACTGCCGGTAGGGAACCAAACCACAGGCCGAAGACGGTGGGAACAGATTGTGTTTTCAGAGGCAGGCGATCAAAAAGCCTCGCGTGCCACCAGTGTGGAAATTTTGGAGAGAGAGCACGGGAGGAGGGAGAGAGGGAAGAGGAGAAGGTTGAACGTTTTAGTGAGGAATCTGTCAGGGAATGACAGAAAGCAAAGCTATTGCTGGAAAAGAGAGAGAGGCATGACGAGAGTGGGCTGGAACCCAGCTCTTTATATGTGTGTGTGTGTGTGTGTGTGTGTGTGTGTGTGTGTGTGTGTGTGTGTGTGTGTGTGTGTGTGTGTGTGTGTGTGTGTGTGTGTGTGTGTGTGTGTGTGTGTGTGTGTGTGGATGGATGGATGGGGAGGGTTCGCTGGGCTGGACCGCTGTTCAGGAGCTGGTGTCACGCGATGTTTGACAAACACAGCTGCCCTCTCTGGCCCTACAGCTGCCCCGAGCCTCTGACTGTACGTGTGCATGCACATCCACAGCAGCTAAAGTACATGCATGTTGCTGTGACTCTGTGTGTACAGTAAGGTCCTTGTGTGTGTGTGATGAAGAGGAATTAGCACGCTCGCTGTGAATCCTGGGGCAGACTGAGAGTGAATCTGAGCAGCAACAACAGGAATCTCTCCTCCAAACTGAAGCTACCAGCTGGACCAATGGCAGCTAAGTCCAAAGTTAGAGCTGGTGTTTGTAAAGACTTCCAGAAGGAAGGCCTTACACCTGCCTACCTGCCTTCTTCCTCAAGACAAACTGTTTATAAGTATTAGACGTAGCCACCATGAAATTAAGCTAGTGTTTTTAGACTGCGTCTTGAAGCCTCAAGTTTAGCATTTTGGCCATTTCCATCTTGGTTGTTTGCAGCCGGAAGTGACCATATTTGGTCAAAAGGGAGGAGCTAGTGGGGTGGGACTGAGGGTGGCTTTATATTTTGTATTCTGTACATCATGCAGTGATTTGTACTGTTCAAGTTAAAAACTCAATAAAAAAAATAAAAAAAGGGAGGAGCTAAAGAAGAGTGGTTTAGCGAACACTAAGTTATCAGAGACAGTGTGCATGATGCTAATTCATTAGCTGGCATATCAAAGAGTTAACGACAGTTTCCCCCTCACATTGAGATTCTTATTTTGGTGGTAGCGTCATATTTTACACTTAGCTAAAAAAAAAGTTAAAATACATTTTAGAACGTAGCGAATTGGAAAATTTCTCAAAGACATCCTGCACAGTTGTCATGACTTGAGAAATGAGTAGTTTAGACTACTGTTAAAATAGCTTTTTTTGCAGTAACATAAGGCTCTATTTGGATTAAATCACTTTTGGAGACAGCCTCTAGTGGACACTTAAGGAACTGCAATTTTCGATTTTGCACTTTTGCGTTTGCCACAAAATGGTCCTACTTCTCAGTGATTTATTCCCTCTGCAAACATTTTTCTAATAACTTTATGGTCTCAGTTTCTAACTTCAAGTCTTCTTCACAACAGCACGATGTTCATTTAGTACATTCTAGTTTAGAGTTTAATAGATGAGCATGCATACTTCAGGGCGTGACTTTTATATCAGATTGAACCAGGATTGAAGTGTAGCAATGCACATCCACCCAGTCATCAAAATAAGGTCTCTTAAGGCTCCAAAAACAATATGCAAAAGGATCGAAATGACAAAATTTAGGGCTTTAAAACTCAAGGGTGTCATCACTGTAGCTACGTCTGTTTCTAATATACCGCCTATGCCCTGATTCATCGCCATCCGAAAGTTTTAGAGGTCTGACGTCCTCCAGGCTGACACTTAGGTTTCCAATTTCCATGGAAATATTTCAAGAATGAAGGGACCTGAAAGCACACACAGCTGAAATGAAAATATAAAGTCAAGTTCTTGTTGTTCATTTTAGATTCCATCTCTTCTGGTTTCTGCCTTCTTCATTCTGAAGTCTAAAAACGAATGGGCAACGTCCACTTCTTATACCAACGGTTTAAAACTTGATCTGTGACAGATTGTCTTCAACAAATTGACCAAGAATCTCTAAATCCTCCCCCACAGACAGACGTGATGCACCAGAACGTGTTCGACTACATCCACATAGACGACCGTCAGGAGTTCAGACGTCAGCTGCACTGGGCCATGTGTCCTCCCCACCAGGGGGCGTCTGCACACCAGGACGGCCAGATACCTGCAGGGACAGGTGGGTGGATCCCGGGAAAGCTGGGGGGGAAACTCAACAGGGATGATCACGCTCATGGCCGAGATCAAACATATTAACAATGGCTTGTTTTGAAAGCTCTGCAAGAAATCATTAACTGAAAAATAAAAAATAAAAAATGTTTTGCATAAATCCATAGTCATGACATCCATTTATATCATACGTTTAAACATTTTTTAATCTGATGATGAAATATGTGCCACACTGTAAGATTAAATCTAATTTTTTAACGTGCTTCTGGATAAGAACCCGACGCTTTCAAGTTTTATAAATTGCTCCGTGTTTTCCAAATAGTGATCCATATTGAATTCTCTTCTCCTCCGTCTCAGGTGAAGATTTTGTCGTGAGCAGTCTCTTCAATTCTCCCGAGGCTGGGGGGGTTCCTCCTGAGCTCTCCTGCTTCCTCAACAGATGTTTCATCGCCAGAGTTCGATGCCTGTTGGACAGCACCTCTGGGTTCCTGGTGAGTGGTCTGAGCCCAATGTGCCAGCTGAACACAACAAACAGAAAAGTGCATTCAAATAAATCATAGAGTAATCGTGCCCACATTCTGGGAGAAGACCCAGGCCTGTTAAAAGTATAATGACCCCGCCGGTACAGAGAATCTTGTGTACGGTTATTTATAGTTGTGTTGGAAAGTGTTATGAGGACTCTGGACGCAGCAGCAGCAGCCGGGTTCATCCCTCGTGGCTGTGACTGCAGCGGTCTGGAGAGGAGCAGTGGAAAATGACAGAGAAACTAGAAAATGTTGTAATGATAATTTGAGTTTTCATCAGGGTCAGCAGAGTTCAGAATTACTTTTCGGGGTTTTGCAGCCAACTGGTCACTTGAGGTACTGCAGTTTATTGGATTCATTTTTCAACAACAACAGGTTGCCACTTGGTTAGACAAAGTCGTTACTTTGCTAGTTAATGAAAAGGACGGAGAGTCTTTAAAACAGAATAACTGAGCACTTCAGTGCAAACCTGCTGTTGTAAATCTACCTTAGTCTCGGTGTAGGAGAGCTTATTGGAAACAAAAGGAATAAGTTTGAGGTATTATTAATAATACATTGAGATATCAAATCACAGCCAATCACATGAACATAGGATAGAGAGAGAGATGCAAAAGGTGATGAGCAGAGGGGTGTCCCCAAAATCCTTAACTATGATTGGTTAATTGCCTTGCCAGATGTGGGACTTACGTTGAGAGTTTGCAGATTGCAGCTGATCAACTCAAGTTACACGGTGCAAGAACATAGTGATGGGAAATACACCTCTTTGACAAGAGTTGCATCATACGTCTGCTTTCCTTTCTGGGCATCAGGACTAAAAGATTCTGAGGATTTTAGACAAACCAGAGACAGGACTGGAGTGTGATGTGAGGTGCTTCTTCAGGTTAGATTCTGGCATAAAAGTAATAATGGTGGTGCAATGATAAAAAGAAGAGAGGCTCAAAAGAATCTGATCGTTTGCACACATCACTACGAGAACACGGCTGTGTGCTGACAGAACAAAGTGTTTCAAGCCGTGGACTTATGTGTCTCCAGCTGGAGTCCAGAGGCAAACAGTTTGTGGTAAATCAGGGCACAGAATCTCTCCATTGAAAGGAAAAGTATCATCAAAATGTAAGAGAAAATAGTTCTACAAAGTTTCTTTTATCGAGGCGCGAACATCAGACGACTTCTTCAAGGGAATGGGATTTAAGGACTATTGCATATCTTCAAACTTGTAAATGTCCTCCTCTCCTTCCTCCCAGACGATGCAGTTTCAGGGTCGTTTGAAGTTCCTCCACGGTCAGAAAAAGAAGTCAGCCTCCGGAGCTTTGGTTCCTCCTCAGCTGGCTCTCTTCTGCATCGGTGTCCCCCTGCTGCTGCCCTCCATCGCTGAGATGAAGATGAAGAACATGCTGCTGAGGGGGAAGAACAAAGGAGGAGGGATGAGCTCTGCACTGGAGCACGGGTAAGCAGAAAGGAAACCTCATATTTAAGATGGTGGGATAATACAGCTGCACATCACACCTTATATCCCCCTGATTGTTTTAATTGAGGTGCTACACGGTGACTAAAGGTCAAGCTGTCCAAACAGCATCAGCTCCAGCTTTGATGCATGTTGGCACCTTGTAATGTTGTTGTTATGGCCTGGAGAGAATACACTGTGGGAGAGCTGGGAGTAAAGGGCAAATCTTCTCCACATCATTGGAAAAGTTTAGTCAAAGCCTGGAGTTAACCTGCTCGTCCTTATGGCGCCCTCCTGATATTTGGACGTCGGTATAATAAGGTTTATGTGTAACACACTTTACGACTGCTTTGAACAGACACGTTTAAAACATGTGCTCTTCTATTTTCAACTCTATTTGTCACCTCATTACTTCTAAACAGATCCATAAAACAAACTATCCTGAGCCCCGCCCTCGGTGTGCAGCTCTGACACAGAGCCTAACGAGCACTGGATGTCTCACCTGTGACCAATCAGGATTGAATACACATCCAGGCCTGGAGAAGTTCCCTCTGTGCTGCATGCATCATGACCACTGAGAGTTTAGAGATCTAGCACCCCCTCTGCTGTTCACCCTGCGTCATCAGGACAGCGTGGATCACGCAGCGGTCCTGGACTGCACGTTTAGTTTGAGACACAAAGTCCCTCCTGACAGTGATGAGGAGAAAAAA